ACCTTAAAGGTCGGTTTGGGTATGATTCTTGAAGCCGTGCGCGAACATGACATGCATGACCCGATGTACAAGTTTGGAGTTGAAGCTATCGAGCAGTTGATCAACCGACTTCCAGAATGGGCGGGCTTTTGTCATCTGCTATTGCAGATTCCGACTTTGCAAGGCTCTCCAATCTTTCAAAAAGCCGAAGAGGTGCTTCACGAACAAGGAAACCAGGCCCGCGACTCCGATACTGCTAGACTGGATAATGCTTCCGCTGGATCTATGACTAATGGTAATGTTGTGGACGAGACTGCTGCCGCTGACGGAACAAGTCGTAAATTCATTTCTGTACATGTTGATCCCCCTCTCCGACCCGAAGTCTACAAGGACCCCGACGAGGATGTGCAGGACAAGATTCTATTTGTACTGAACAACGTATCAGAGCAGAACATCGAGGAGAAGCTACGAGATCTCACCGATGTTCTCCGGGATCAACACCACCAATGGTTTGCTTCGTATTTGGTGGAAGAACGGGCCAAACTGCAGCCTAATTTCCAGCAGTTGTACCTTGACCTCCTTGATCGCATTAATGATAGGGTGCTTTGGGCGGAAGTTCTGCGAGAAACATACGTCAGCGTTTCCAAGTTGCTTAATGCCGAGGCCACTCTGAATAATTCCACCGACCGTGGACATTTAAAGAATCTTGGCTTATGGCTTGGATCCTTGACTATCGCAAAGGATAAGCCAGTCAAGCACAAAAATGTCTACTTTAAGGGGCTTCTCTTGGAAGGTTATGACAGCCAACGCCTGACGATCGTGATCCCATTCACCTGTAAGGTGTTGGTCCAGGCTACCAAGTCTACAGTCTTCAACCCGCCAAATCCTTGGCTCATGGATATCCTGGCACTTTTGATGGAGCTTTATCACTTTGCAGAATTGAAACTGAATCTCAAGTTTGAAATAGAGGTTCTATGCAAAGACCTTGATCTTGATCATAAAGCCATTGAGCCATCCGTCATCATTCGAGACCGTTCAGCGCACATTGAGGATGCGTTGTCGACAGCCAACATTCCTGAAGGTCTCGAAGCGTTTGAAGACATGGCACTTACTAGCATCAACCAAGGCATTCGTCACGAAAGGCTATCACCCGCCGCTATTATGTCGACGCTGCCAAGCTTAGATAAGATTCTTGTCTTGCCGTCGTCCGCAAGCAGCATGGTTGACCCCAACGTCCTTCGGCAAATTGTACACAGTTCCGTCGAACGTGCTATTGCAGAGATTATAACGCCTGTGGTGGAACGGTCGGTAACCATTGCTTCCATCTCGACAGTTCAATTGGTCTCAAAGGATTTCGCCATGGAGCCCGACGAGGAGAAGGTCCGACATGCGGCTGGCATAATGGTTAGACAACTTGCTGGTAGCCTGGCCCTTGTCACTTGCAAAGAGCCTCTGAAGGTCAGCATGACCAACTATATCCGTATGATCCAGCAGGAATATTCTGACCAGCCTATGCCTGAGGGGCTTATCCTGATGTGTGTTAATGATAACCTGGATGCCGCATGCGGCATTGTTGAGAAGGCAGCAGAAGAAAAGTCACTTCCAGAGATCGAAAAGGTCATTGAGCCGCAGTTAGAAGCCCGTCGCCGTCATCGTGCGGCCCGACCCAATGAGCCATTCATTGATCCATCAATGAACCGCTGGGGGCTTTTCATTCCCGAGCCTTATCGGCAGGCACCTGGGGGACTTAACAAAGAACAGCTGGCTATCTATGAAGAGTTCGCCCGCCAGTCTCGTGGGCCGGCAACAACTCATATCCCCAATGTTTCGACTGACTCTGGCCGCATTCAAGATGTTCTACAGGATCCTTATACCGCCATACCGAACCTTTCCACACCGGCAGAGCAGCCTGCTGTTCCTCACAGAACACCACAGGCGCAACAGGATGCCAGGTTGCAGCAGTCTGGGCTCGTCAGTGCACAGTCGCAGCTCAATGGTTTCCTTGAAGCACAGAGTCCGCGCGAGAAGGTTGAGAGTATCGTTTCCGATCTTCAGCAAGCTGCAAGAAATGCGTCTGAGGAACGTGTTAGAGATCTTGGAAGAGACAGCGGCGTCCTACAAGAGTACAACCAAGCCTTGCGGGCTATTCTCGCATCTCCCAACGGTGAGGAACTGGCGCGGTTGACGTCACTCAAGATCTGCACAAGTCTATTCTCGCAGACTCAAGGCACATTAGAGATTGAAGTACTCGTACATCTTCTTGCCAAGCTGTGCGATATGTCGTCTCTAGTAGCACGATACACCTGGGCGGTCCTATCGGAAGTTGATGATGAGCACATGTTCAATGTCCCAGTCACTGTCGCCCTCATTGATGCTGGACTTTTGGACATTCGTCGCGTTGATATGATATTGACAAGGCTTATTCTTCAGAAGAATACCGGTGCTCTAGATGTCCTTGCCAATCTGATGGACCGTGTTCTTTTCAGCGAGGAGCCTTCCGCCTTGAGGTCTGACTTCTCAGGCAGTCTTGAAGCTATGAGCCAGTGGCTTGCAGAAGACTCCAGTCTTTCAACTGCCAGTGACATTATCAACAAGCTGCGCGAGTCTGGGATTCCTGAAGTTGTTAACCCTCTACTCAGCGATAAAGCGAGAGCGAAGCGTGATCAAATGGAGTACATCTTCAGCGAATGGATCGGAATCTACAAGGCTCCGGGCGCCATTGATCGCACCTATTATTCTTTCCTCAAGGATATCCATGAAAGACAAGTCATGGACAATCAAGAAGATTCTGCCTTATTCTTCCGTCTTAGCATCGATATTTCCGTTGCAATGTTTGAGCATGAGTCTCAAAATCCTAATGGCAGCCTTGACGAAGCCTACCTCTACATCGATGCCCTCGCAAAGCTGGTTGTACTTCTTGTCAAATTCCAGGGCGAGACACCAGGAGCTACCAAGACTAGCAAGTCAGTCTACTTCAATTCGATCCTGTCATTACTGGTGCTCGTTCTCAACCACCATCATGTTATGAGGGGTGAAGCTTTCAACCAGCGCGTCTTCTTCAGGCTCTTCTCAAGTATCCTTTGCGAATATTCCTTGAACGGCCTTCAACAGAGCGAACAACATCAAGAGATGATGTTCGCCTTGGCTAACAAATTCTTGTCACTCCAACCTAAGTACTGCCCCGCGTTTGTTTACGGGTGGCTGGCGTTGGTCTCGCACAGGTTTTTCATGTCAGGTATGTTGAACATGCCAGAGCGTACGGGCTGGGGCCCTTACTGCGAGATCATGCAAGCTCTTCTTGCTTATATCGGCGAGCAACTCAAGCCTGCAAATATCTCCTATGTTATCAAGGACATGTATAAGGGCGTGCTTCGCATCTTGCTGATCCTGCATCATGACTTCCCCGAGTTTGTGGCGGAAAACCATTTCCAGTTCTGCAATGTTATCCCCGCACACTGCGCTCAGCTTCGAAATCTTGTTCTGAGCGCCTATCCGTCATCCTTCCACAAACTACCAGATCCGTTTAGAGAGGGCCTGAAGGTCGAACGGCTGGAGGAGATGCGTGAAGCGCCAAAGATCGCTGGTGACACGGCAGCTCCACTCCAGCAGGCGAACATCAAGAGTGTAGTTGACTCTTCGCTTCAGAGCGGAAATGCGTCGGAAGCGGCTTTGCAGCAGATTTGTGAAGCCGTGTACAACCCGACTACCAAAGAGACCGGCCTCTTCTACACGCCAATCAACGTCAATGTGGTGCTTCTGAATGCCCTGGTGCTCTACATCGGCCAGAGCGCTGTCTCTGTCAATGCATCTAAGGGCAACACTCGTGCAGCATTTGACAACTCCCCTCATTCAGCCCTTCTTGAGAGATTAGCGAAAGCCTTACGGCCTGAGGCGCGCTATTACCTGCTGAGCGCGATGGCGAACCAGCTTCGGTATCCTAACAGTCACACCTACTTCTTCAGTTTCGCAATTCTCCGTTTGTTCGGTTCCGACTACTCGGAACAGGATGAGTCCGACATTCGCCAGCAGATCATTCGGGTGCTGCTTGAGCGACTTATCGTTCATCGTCCTCACCCTTGGGGATTGATTATAACTCTGCAAGAACTGCTTCAGAATCGAAGCTACACCTTTTTCCGTCTTCCCTTTATTCAGGCGGCGCCTGAGGTGAGTTATTTTTATCCCGCGTTCGCTCGATTGAACAAGCAACTAACCAGAGATGTCATCAGATCGGTCGTTTATTCGACGCACTCCTGCAGCACATTCAACAGCAAAGCCCTAGAGCGTTGGCCTAGGCATTGACGAAGAATCAGCACCCTTTGCTATATTCTCTATTAATACGAAGAACTTGACCTTGCCACGATGTCTTACTTATTTCTGACATGAATGTTTTCATGGTGATTGCCGATGCCGCTCATGACATGTAGCATCCATATTTACGGAGCTCTGCTGGGATGTATGATTTGTTGAAGGGTTCTTTTCCTCTATTATCTTTCTTTTAGTGGGCCGTCTGTACTGCTTTACCTCGTTATCATTTCTCGGTTGGGTTTCTGGGAGGGATATGCATACCACTAGGAGGACATGTCAGCACGGTTGAATGCTACATGAAACCTTTTATCATTTTTTTTCTTTCTCTTTTTTCACCCTATTCTTTTTTTTTTTTAACCAATTCCTTTCTCCCTTGTACTTCTGTTGGACATTTGCGTCACTCCGGTTCTGGTGGCCTGTAACGATAAGTATAAAAAATACGGGGGTATAATGAGGTTTTGTTTTACTTTGCATTTTCAATGGCATTTGGGAGTTTGATCCGGTCGATATGGAATAATGAGTGTGCAAATCCATTGTAAATGATGCCGCAGAATAAAATCATTCTCGTAGTAGGTAGTTGTATTTGTAGCTACTGGTAGTTTAAATGGATACCTGAGAAGGAAGGTTCACATGTTCCCGCGGAAGAGAGACCCTGTGACGTCGACGCGACCCCGGCAAAATAGTTCAGGTAGACTCAAACTAGTACTCCGACACAGCTGTCACAGAAATTTGCTTCAATTACCCTCCCTTTATTTCCCTCATTACCGCATCATGGAATCTGAGTATACTTCCGAGGAAGATTCAGGTCATAAGCCTACAGTTGTAACTAGGACAACGGTAAGAGCCAACACCACATAGAAGATGATCGATTTGGTGCCCTAACAGCTCTACCATAACGCGCAGAACGCGCTGGTTAAGTACAGCCGACCATTCTTCTCAAAACAAGCCCAGAAGGCATATTTGGGGACCTTGCTATTTGTTGGCACGGGCCTATGCATGTTGTTTGGGTCCGCCCTCGCCTATGGGATTTTCTACTACAGATTCGTTCCCCAAGTCGGCGTTGGACGCGTGGTACATTTACAATTCGGGTCAGTACAGAATTGATCGGCGAATATCTGGAGATAAGATGTATGCTTTCGTCTGAGGCATCTTTTTGCTGATCGTACCTGCTAATAGTGATGGGCATCCTTGGGGGATCGCCTCGCTCGGCTCCGAATTGGTCTCCCTTCAGCCATACGACATAAACGTGGAGCTTGAGTTGCCTCGTACCCCTTCAAACCTTGCCGCTGGGAATTTTATGCTCGATCTGACTCTCCTTTCCCTTCCATCGACGTCTGTCCTGACGGGCACGAATAGCTCTACGTATCCTATCTCACGATCGCGCCGTTCTGCTATCCTAACATACGCCTCGCCTCTAGTAGACACAGCCAGCAAGCTCTCACTCATGCCGTTCTATGTGTTTGGTTGGTCGCGGGAGGCAGAGAAACTGGTGGTACCAATGATGGAACGGGTTGAGTTTGCCCGCGGATGGCGTAATCTGCCTGAAAGTTTGCGGCTGGAAATCCATAGTAGCGAGGAGATGCAAATATACAAAGCAACGGTGGAATTCAGAGCTAGGTTTACTGGATTGAGGTATGGCGCCCAGGGACCCAATGGGTTGCTTTTGGGGTGTGGCTATTGTGACTAACTGTACAGCAGATGGATGATGTACAACTGGAAGATCACGTCGTTCTTCATCTTTAGTTCCTTGTTCTGGAGTATCTGTATGACATCGGCAAGCATTTCTTGGGTGATTATAGCTTCCTTATCAAGCACGGGTACGCGTGAACCGGAGGTGAAGGAGGAAGCGGGCGACGAAACGCCGATCAAGCAAGAACCTTCTGAGGAAACATCCTCTCTCATGGAGGTACCCTCTGCTTCTTCCACTATTCCAGAAGGGAAGCAGAGGATCAAGAGAGAAGATGACTATGAGGCAGATGACGACGAGTCCGATGGTTCGCCAAGGGACCGAGGTACATTATCGTCCGAGGAGGTCGGTGCGGGGACGGGGTTGGAAAGTGCTGAGGCTCGTGGTGTTCAACGAAGGCGAAGCCGCCTGTTCAGTACCGAACAGTCCTAATCGGCTTCGATGTCTTTTGTGATGATTTTCCAAGTCGGCGTTTTTTCACAGTATTGATACCCAATCATCAGCGGGAGCCATTGTGTTGATCTAGATCTCTTTGAGGCGCAAAAGATCCTGTAGTAACACTTCGCTTAGTACGCTGAACATAATATCTCTTGTGCGGATGATCGGGTTTACACGAGACACATGTTAGGCTGCAAGGTGAATTGGTGTCCAAAGTAGTGCTACGTACGGAAGGACTGGGTACAGATAAATATAAATATAAATATAAATAGTGATAGCGATGGCGTTATCGATAACGGAAAGTGGGCTGTTGGTAAGGCGGGGAAAAAAAAGGGAAAATCAGTCCCAATTGTTCGATCATCTGTCTTACCTCTCCGACCAAGCCTGAGATCAACTGATTCTTATCTTCCTTATTACTGGCCCTCAATGCATATTCTGGTGAGTTGGTTTGTTCTGTAACCATTACGTCCATTCTTCAATCGCATACTCTACCTACCCCGCTTGTCGCATATGAATTTGCTGATCCGTGAGGTTCTTCTCTAGGTTGTGAACGACGACGGTCCTCCGTCAAATCAGTCGTCTCCTTATGTTCATTCCTTTGTCGTTGCCCTACAGTCGGCAGGCCATGTGGTTTCCGTAGTTCTCCCACATCAGCAACGATCATGGATCGGTAAAGCCCACTTAATCGGCGCCTCCGTGAAGCCTACGTACTTCCGTCCTGGAACGCTGCATCAGGACGATGGAACGACGCATGACCTGCCTCGAGGCAGTGACCCTGCTGACAACGATGACGACGATGGTGATGAATGGATCCTCGTTGATTCTACCCCGGCCAGCTGTGTCCAGATTGGGTTATACCACTATTTTGAGGACCGTGGCCCGGTTGACCTGGTGGTGTCTGGCCCGAACTACGGCCGGAATTCAACGGCCCTATTCGCCTTGTCTAGTGGGACAATTGGTGGTGCCATGGAGGCAGCCGTCTGTGGGAAGCGCTCGATTGCACTGTCGTACGCCTTTAGTTCAAGGGACCACGACCCCGTTGTGATTGCCGAGGCATCGCGTCATTCGGTTCGGTTGATCGAGTACCTGGCAAAGAACTGGGCGGACGGTGTAGACCTCTACAGCGTCAATGTACCGTTAGAACCTGGTGTGAGCCAGAGCAAGGTTCTCTATACTGACATGCTTGATAACCGATGGACATCTGGTAGCTGTTTTCGGGCTGTTGATGCCTCGGTGCCGGATGCGAATCCCGAACTGCAGGAGCACAATGTGCGACACCAGGATCAGAAATCAGGGCAAGAATTATCCGCGAATGCCAATGGAAGTACCACGAGAAGGTCTCGGATTCAACACAAACATTTCCAGTGGGCACCGAACTTCTCGGATGTATACAGGAGTGTGGAGGAAAGCACACCAGGCAATGATGGCTGGGTCGTTAAGGAAGGAATGACAAGGTATATTAATTCTACTATTTCGCCCCAGTATATTGACATGTTGGTCGCTAATTCGTACCAGTGTTACGCCTCTGAGAGCTAACTTTATGCATCAACCTGGTATTCAAGGAGAGATCAAGCTGTGAGTGGAATTTCTCGGCGAGTGAAGCCAAGATTAGATATGACTGCCTAGAGCATAATGTTGCGGAACTTTAAACTTCTAAGCGTTTGACATACTTCTGGCTTTTCTTCCCTTTCCCGGCATTGCCTTATTACTTGTTACCTGTGGTTGTTTGGAAGAACCGGCATTCTGATAGATCTATATCATGTAGACCGGGTAATGATGAGCCTACGTTATACTCCATTGTGGACAGCGATGTTCCATACGTTCAGGATTTGATGGAACGGGCCCTGCAGCGTCGCCTTGGCAAGGGTCGCTATAAGACGATATCTTCACTGTCAGATCTTCCGTCTCGTTCTGCGCCTCTTTTCCAGTACCGTGAATACGAGCGACTCGACTTTGAGCACGTCATGCTACATTCATCTACATCTTTGGCGAATGCCTACATTATCCGCAAGGCGTTAATTCGCAAACATTACCTATCTAACACAATCTCCAACTGGGTGACGAAACATCCAGACAGCGTTTTAGGAAAGCATTTCAAATTTGCATTCGATTTCGAGCTGGACTACGCAGAGTTCCTCGACGACGCGTTGCTGGAAGCCTACGAACTACGGGACAGTTTGCAAAAGAATGAGGAGAGGCCTAATCATGAAAAGGAGTGGTGGATCCTGAAACCCGGAATGAGTGATCGGGGACAGGGAATTCGACTCTTTAGCAGCGAAGATCAACTGCGCGAAATATTTGAGGAGTGGGAAGTCGACGAATCTGATATCGACAGTGGATCAGAGCGCGCTGAAGACGAGGATGACGAGGGCGAAAATGGAACAGGGGTGGTCACCTCCCAACTACGCCATTTCATTGCACAACCGTATATCGATCCGCCCCTCCTCCTCCCATCATCATCTAATCGCAAGTTCCACATCCGCACCTATGTCCTCGCAGTGGGTTCTTTGAAGGTGTACGTCTTCAAGGAAATGTTGGCTCTGTTTGCTGCAAAGCCATACTGTCCACCTTCGGAAGATGAGGACGAGGTCACAGATCTGGCGAGGCATCTTACGAATACCTGCTTTCAGGAAGGTGGAAGCTCCAACGAAGGAACCGTCCGGAGATTTTGGAATTTAGATCCCCACGTCCCTGGCCTCAGCCCCGATTGGAAGGAGAAGGTGTTTGACCAAATCTGCGCTGTGAGTGGTGAAGCTTTCGAGGCTGCTGCCCGTGGAATGATGATCCATTTCCAAACGCTCCCTAACGCCTTCGAGCTTTTCGGCGTGGACTTCCTGGTCGATCAAGACGGCACCGCTTGGTTGCTCGAGATGAACGCCTATCCGGATTTTGCCCAGACGGGTGAAGAACTCAAGGAGGAAGTGGTTGGCCGTCTCTTTGAGGAGACTGTGGAAGTTGCCGTGAAGCCGTTCTTTGGTGGTGAGGCGCCAGCGGATGGAACTGACCACTTGAGGCTGGTCACCAACCTTGATTTGGGCAGGAAGTTCTAGTCATGACTGCTTCTCCAGTTCAGGCCAGGCATCACTATTCTGTTTTCCTTGGGTTAGGAAACTCATAGGGACAGGCGTTGATAGAGTGTATAAATGGGAGGGAATGAAAAATATAGAAAGAGGCTTTGTGTTACTATACCCAGATATAGCTCCCATATAGGGTCCAGCCTAACACCGGTAGCTCAATATAGAAAACGACGCAGTTCTTCAGAATATTAGGAGATATCAATTGTCCAAGTGTACTGATGCAGCATGAAATGAGGACAGAGACAGGCAATGTAGGTTGAAATAGTGTCGCTGCCTTCATTAATATTTAAAAATCATGTTCGATGTAATCCATAAGCGCGAATAACCTCGAGACACATTCCAGAACTATTGGCCTGCAGAGCATTCCCTGTCCTGAGAACATAGTACTGTACTCATGTATTAGTACTGCTGCATAAATGCAAGGTTCCGTTCCGTTCCCGCGCAGGATTCAAGGCAAGACTTGCTGGCAATATAGTAAAAGTGTACCACTGTAATTTGTGCTGAATATATGTTTGATTCTAGGTGAACTGTCATGACGCACGGCAGTAGATATGATGACAAAGAACATCCTTCTGTACAATAGAAATTTGAGCCGCAGAAAGAAACTCAGATTATCACCCAAACCGCTGCTTTGCCAGCGTCTTAAGCCATCCAATTGTTTCATCCTCCTTCTGGCGATATTGCTGCAATCTTTCCTCTCGCTCCGCAGCGCGTGCACGGAGTATTTCTTCCCTCCGGATTTCCCGCTCGTTCTTCTTTCGCTGCTCTGTCGCCCTAGCTCTCTTGATGGCATCCAGATCATTGTCCGCGGAGCCCATCAGTTCATCTTCCGGGGCTCCATCAGGAGAAGCACCCCGTCGGGACTCAGCAAAGGCTCGATTCGCAGCAGCAGCCTCCCGACGTTTCTCCATCTTCCGCTCATGAGTCCCCGGTTCCGCCCGCGGCGCAACCTCATCTTCCATATGTCGTAACTCAGACCGATGTGAGCGCACCTCAGCACGATGCTGTGTCCGCGAGTCCTCTCGCGCCGCAATAGCATCCTCAATCGCCGATTCTGCACAATAACAGGGTTCCAGATTAGCCAAAATAAACAACCAGAACCAAGCACTGGAATTCACTCATACCTTTCCGCAGCTCCAGATCCTGCATCGTAGGAATAGTCGGACCGGACGACTGTCCCGCACGACCACCTTCATATCGATCTATCTGGCCATATTTCGGAAGAACAGGCCCATAATCATCCTCGTCCTCGTCGGGATTATCCTCCACCTCCCGGTCCACCCTTTCATCCTGACCCCGGCCGTAGTCCGGGGATTGACGGTGCCGCCCGGAAGCAGACATAATGGGTTCGTCTTGGGCACTACGGCGCGCTTTCTCAAGGGTACTCGGATCGTACCATCCTTCCGCGAGTTCTCCACGGTTCCTGAAATGTCAGTTTTCCGGACCATATAAGCTATGCGTGGAGGGAGGGGAGGGAGTGAAAAGCGCCCTTTACCATTTGTTGATGAAGCTCTTCCATCTTCCCTTGACTTCGTCTTCGCTGAGATCTTCTAGGAGAATCCCCTTCTGGATATCCAGGTACATGGCGAACATGGGTTCGTAGGTAGAGAGGTCGCGCTTGGAGAGCTCTCGTGCTTGAAAGGGGAGGACGACTGGTTTCGTCGATGGTTCTGGGCGGCGTTCGTGACGGTCATGTTTGTGGCTTCTGTGATGGTGACGATGGTCGCGATCGCGATCGCGGTGGTGACGTCTGTGTTTGTCTGGGGAGCGGGAGCGAGTGCGAGAGTCGCTTCTTTGGTGGGAGCGTGGATGTCGGTGAGAGGAGTGTTCGCGGGTGGACATCTTGTTGGATGGGTTATCTGGTGTTTTGGGTATTAAATGTAGTTGGGGTGTAATAAATTGAATTTATTAAATGTCGCGGAAGTTGAGAAATGCCAAGCTTTGCGGGTGGTTGCCGTTTTGGGGTAAATTGGAGGAGCTTTATTTAATCTTTTGGTTATATTCGAAGGTGGGAGAGAAATGTTACCTACTCTGCTGGCTTGTAGCAATACTCATACTCAATTGTCGCAATTCCGTTCCTGAAATGAAACCTCAATTGGATGCTATAGAGACTTGGCAGGTAGAGACTGACAGAACATCCTATACATATTCAATCCAGTGTAATGCTACAACTATGCACGACCTCTCGAATTTCTTGATCACATAACCGGCAATAATAAAGTCCAATCCAACAATCAAATCATTATCTCCATGGTAAATACAATCACAGGAATGAAAAGAAAACCCAGCAGAAAAGTAAGGATGAAGAAATCTACATGAAGAGCATGAAAGAAGTGGCGAAGGTTTTAGCTGGCCGGAGCAGTTTGCTCACCGGCAGGCTTGGTAGAGTTATCGCCGGTAGAGGAGGTGGGAGTGGATGGAGACGCGTTCTTCGAGCGGTTGGCAGCGGCCATTTGCCAGGCAGGAATGGAAGCGGATCGGCTGAACTGTGACAGTGGGCTACTGCTGGCGGCAGGAGTGGTCTGGTTCGACTGCGTTGAAGCAGTGGACGACGGCTGTGTAGTTTGTTCAGTCGACGTCGCTGTGGTACCGTTGGTGGCTGGAGAAGCAGGGGACTCTTCCGTAGGACGAGAGGCGCCCGACACAGTTGGTAGGGCACTAGGCTTTGCAGTGTTCGGGGAGGTAGCAGCTCCGCTGCCCCCGAGCCTGTTGCCCAACAACACCTTCAAACTCTTCAATTCGGTTCCCAGCTCCTTCAAGCGGTTCTCGTTTCCTTCCCGGGCACCTTCCAGGGCTTTAGGGATGGCGTCTTTCAATGACTTGACCTCATCGCTGATGCGACGGGTTTCATCATCTCTCCGACGCGAAGCGTTCTTCAAATCTGCCACGAGGTTCTCGACTTCCCGCAGCGCAGTGTCTAGGCGCTCCGTGCGCGACTCTTCAGCTGCCTTCAGGGCTGCGGTATCTGTAGATAGCTGTTCAATTAAAGCAAAGGCACGATTGAATTGTTCATCAATGTTCTCCTTGTCCTGTTCTAGTTGTGGCGGAGTAGGCGGCGCGATAAGGGGTGTGATATACCGCTGACAATCGTATTAACCCCATGTTTCAATGGGAGGAATCAGGGTCACTGCGTTACTAACCTTAGCGACAAAGTAGAGCCCATATCCTACACCTCCTACTGTTGTAGCCATAATGAACCAATCGCGCCAATCCCTCTTTGGGGGCCTGTGAAATAAGTCATTAGCTTGCACCCTCATTAATCGCTCCGGGAAAAGATGTGAACGTACTCTGGAGGTGGAGGCTGCCATTGACCATATGGAGGGTAGCCATATCCATATCCTTGGACAGGCGGAGGAGGACCTTGGTAGGCGGGTGGTTGTGAAGACGGTTGGTACCCTGACGATGCAGTTACTGCAGTAGATCCAGCCGAGCCTTCACCTGCTCGGGCGAGAGCGATGTCGATCTCCTCTTGCGTGAGGTTCTTAGACTGAAGAAATGCGACTCTCTTCTCGACCGGCGACGATGCTACTGAAGGATCTTGAAGGACTGCTGAGCAGTTAGCAATTAAACCGAACAGCAACTGAAGTCAACAGTCGACGTGGAACACGCACAAGTAACCTAGAAATGAGAAGACCGGTCAACTCCGATTCCGCAAACAGCATATCTCAGATAGCGCAGACTTACTGCAGAGGAGATGAGCTCCTCGCGTGCCATTTTGGCAATTTCCCCAGTAGGTTGACACACAAAAGGAGGATATGACAGAAACTCCGAAAGGGCACGTTCACGAGGATGAGAGAGAGGAGTTGGAGAAGACGGGGAAGGCGGGAAAGGGAAAGAGAAGCTTATCGGCACCGAAGGATAAATGGACCTCGGAAGTTCCGTCGCTAGTCCCAGTCATTTACCGCTTGTGGCGGAGACTCCCCAGAATCTCGTGATCGGAGTCCTGTGATCGGAGATAACTCGGCATCCGCGAAAGCGTTGTTCTTTCGTGATACACCGCCTACTCTATACGGATGAAGTGGGATATCTTGTTTACTTCCTTTCGTTTTGTTTTGTAACCACCGCAACTGCCACTTTTTTTTGGTACCCAATTCTCTGGGCGGCATTGTTTCTGGGTCCTTTTGTACAAGCCTTCGCTGAAATTTTGTTCTGTGCTAGCTGTTAATTTTGTGTCAATTTTTTCCTGCTACCAAAGCCGCAGTCGCGGCTTCCTTGCCATCATGTCGCAAGATACGGGCTTGTTTAGCATCAAGCGCCCCCGAGAGGTAATCCATTGCACCACCCTGCCATTTGTCTACCAGGATCATGGAACCAACGTTGACCTAATTTAATATAGTCTCTGGCGCACTTCTCGGCTCTCCCTCAACCATCTTCCGCCCTGAAGCGCACCAGCTCTATCGGCGCATTTGGGAACCCGCCTACTGCTCAGCACACACGCATGTCGCTGTTGAACTCCGCCAGTCGCCCCCAACAACCAAACTTCCAGCGTTCATCTTCCGGAGGAGCTTTCGGAGCTGATGCGGGTCTCTCCTCGGTGAGGCGTTCTGTCTCCAGCAATATCTTCCACGGGGCCGGCGGCGGCCGCCAAAGCTTTGCGCCGGGCTCTTTTGCTTCCAACACTGCATCCCAGAATTTGCAGCGGAGGAGTAGCGTCTTCTCAAGGCCATCCGCTGGTGTAGGAGGCGCTATGGGTCACCAGTCATTCTTCACACAGGTCCCTAACGCGGCTGGTGTCCCACGGGATCCTCGACCCCTGCGGGACCGATCCTTTCAAGCTCGGATTGGTCAGGAGCTTCTAGAGTATCTAACGCACAACAACTTCGAGTTAGAGATGAAGCATACTTTGGGACAAAATACGTTGAGGTCTCCGACCCAGAAAGACTTCAATTACATCTTCCAGTGGCTGTACCATCGCATTGATCCCGGCTACCGTTTTCAGAAAAGCATGGATGCAGAGGTGCCACCAATCTTGAAGCAATTGCGCTATCCTTATGAGAAGGGTATCACAAAGTCACAGATAGCGGCTGTCGGAGGTCAGAACTGGCCTACGTTTCTTGGTATGCTGCATTGGTTGATGCAACTAGCCCAGATGATGGATAGGTTCATTATGGGGGAATACGATGAGGCTTGCGCAGAAGCCGGTGTAGACGTTTCAGGGGATCGCATCATTTTCCGATTCTTGACAGGGGCGTATCATGATTGGTTACAGGGTGGTGAGGACGAAGATGATGAGACAGCCGGACAGAGGCTGGTCCCTCACGTCGAAATGATGGCTCAAGAATTTGAAAGGGGCAATGAGAAGTACGTGCAAGAAGTACAAGCCTTGGAAGCGGAAAATCGTGCACTACGCGATCAGATCGAAGAGATGGAGAAGAGTGCGCCCGATATGGCCAAGCTAGACAAGCATTTCAGGATTCTGGAGGATGACAAGAGGAAGTTTGAGGACTACAACCAGAACGTCCAGGGAAAGATTGAAAAATACGAAAATCGTATTAAGTTCCTGGAGGATGAGCTCCAGAAGACCGAGGCAGACCTGCAAGCGGCCGAAGACGAGCGGGCAGGGCTCCAATCCAGTGTCGACCGACAAGGTATTACTATCCAGGACATTGATCGCATGAATACGGAACGCGATCGTCTCCAAAAGACCCTTGATGACACCCTGGGTCGACTGGAAGAGACGCATACCCGAGTGATGGAGAAGGAAAAAGAGGCCAGCGAAAAGTTGGAGGCCCTCGAGGAAGTCGTCAAGGCCTACAATACACTAGGCTATCAAACTAGCCTGATCCCTTCCTCCGCGGTCAATGCGAAGGGCCAGGACTATGAGCTCAGCCTGAACGTCAATGAAAGCAATTTCTCCGCGTCGCAGATTGGCTCCGCACCTAGCAGAATATCCCCGGAGGGCGATCGACTGCTAGCAGAGCCGTTCACGGGCTATCACCCGGCACATTTACTGAGTCTGGACTTGCGGGGTATGGTTCGTAGCAGTCTGCAAACTCTGCGCAAGGAGGTCAATGAGCGACGAAAGCGCGCAGCAGATGATGATTTGGATCGGCGCAATCTTTTGGATAATATCAAGGAGGCCATGGATGAGAAGCGAAGCGAAGTGGAAGCTCTGGAACATAGACGACGCGCTGCGGAAGAAGAATTTGAGCGAACTAAAGAAATCACTACTACGCAGAAGCTTGCCTCCGATGCCCAAATCGAAAAGATGGAGAAAGAGCTAGCCAAGATGAGGGCTACTATGAGTGAGAGCGTTCAACTCATGGAGCAACGTGAAATGAACACGAATATTGAGTACGAGCAGCTGACGCTCCGAGCGAATGCGCTACGGGAGGAACTACACACCAACGTGGAAAGCATGTTGAATGACGTGATTCGATTCAAAGTCCATGTCCAAAAGGGTCTTGAGGATTACGAAGGCTTCGTTGTCGACGAGGTCGAACAGGAACTTGGAGGCGACATGGCACCGGCGGATGATATTCCTCCGGAGGAAGAATTGTGAAATCGATTCAAAGGAAATCCTCCGTGTCACAAGTGACGGTGATCGCTGAAGTTCTGACTAGTTTTCCTCTCGCTTCGCTTGGGATTCAGACCGCGATCGGCTTTTATACTAAGTTAGTACAACGCAGCGACCATCTTCACCTGAACTTTTGCTTTGCATGATATTGGTAGTATCTTTGATGTGGCGCTACTGGGCAGTTTGGGTGTGTGGTGTTTGGATCATATCTTGTTTTCTCTTAAATTTTTTTCCCCTTGAAGGGCTTGGGATGTGGGATGTGACGTTAATTGATACCTTTTCTTTGGATTGTTTTCCATGTTCATACTGTCAAGATTTAGAGCGTGTATGAGTATATAAGTTTTCCAACCA